AGAGTGAAAAGAGTGAAAAATTGAAGGGGGTCTGAATACTTTCCGTACCCACTGTATATATATATATATATTATTATTATTATTTATTTCTTTATTTTATTTTTTTTTACATTATAGGGTGTGTACCGTACCATTTTAGTATATATTTTTAATGTGTATATATACTGTACATACGTCATACATACATACATTATAAAATATATAGCTAAATATATAAATAAAATAAGTAAAAAAAAATAAAAAGTATTCATCATAATACATACTAACACACACCCTTTAGTGAAGCAGACTGATCTCCTGCTGCTGGGCTGAACTACATCCATCAGTAATGCGTATCTGAGCAGAGTTTTGGGGGGCAGCAGATACTGATCCATGCCTTCTTCATCCTCCTGCAGGAAGTCCTGCAGCCTCTGGACTGTTTCCTGACTGTCCTGGATCCTCTTCCTTTCCAACTCTTGTTCTGTCTCCAGCTTAAAAATGATCGTCCCAGTCTTTTCTCTCTCACACTCAGATGATGTAAGGTGACTGTGTGGAACAGCGAGACTGTTTGGGGACTCAGACATGGGGAAGCCCTCTATAATCTGCCAGCAGAAGAACAACTTTAGTATTCAATAGCAAATGCATTGCGGTGCCTGAGTTAGAATAGATCTAAACAGAAAACTACCTCTGCTGAAGTTGGGAATGAGAAGGATCCTGGTGGTCTCCTTGCAATGAGGAAATATCTGAGCCTAGAGTTTGGTATCCCAAGCTGTGGCAATAAACACCATCACAAAAACAAGACTGGGATACACTTTCTGAGATATTTAAGAGATGAAGAGGCATGCTTACAGATGTTGGTGAGATCAGAAACTCCTGAAAGCTGTAGTCAAACTCTCTCAGTGTCTTAAGCAAAGCATCCCTGTAAATTTAAAAAAAAAAACTTTAAAAAGTGTCTGTAATGGCTTTGACGGTTCCATGAAGAACTTATAACATCCATGGAAACTTTAAAGGGATAGTTCACCCAAAAATGGTGTCATCAAATACCACTTATTCCAAACCTGTATGAGTATCTTTCTCCTGCTAAACACAAAAGAAGCTATTTTGAAGAATGTTGGTAGCCATTGACTTCCATGGTATTTTATTACATACTATGGAAATCAATGGCTACCGTCAACTGTTTGGTCACCAATATTCTTCAAAATATCTTCTTTTGTTTTCAACAGCTGAAAGAAATTCATACAGGTTTGGAACATCCCTTTAAGGTTCTTTCTAGTGGAAAAAAAGGTTCTTTGGATTTTTAAAATTGTTCTAAAAATATTCTTTTAAGAATTGTTCACTGAAAGTTTCTAAGAAGTAGTTCTTCTACGGCATCACTGCAAAACCCCACTTTTGGAAACTTTATTTTTAAGAGTGTAAGACCAATTTTAGGGTAATGTTTTACTTCTTTCATTATTAAAATACTTTGATCCGTCCCAGTTCAATGTGCAGAGACAACTATAAGATTCTTATTAGCACGATCCATGGTGACAGAAACACAGAGGGGAAACCAATGACCCTGTTGGCTCATAGCCATGTAACCATGGTGATCTCAAGGCTCCTGTGCCACCCTGGTTACCTTGCAGCAGAGGTCTCAAAGCCCTTCACATTCTCCAGCAGAATGAAGCGCGGCCTCTTGCTAAGCCTGCAGGGAGGAAGAGAGGTACATTCTTTCACAAACACATTCTGGGAAAAAACAACTCAGAGCTTGAGAATAAAACAACGGACAGGAAAGGGCAAATGGAGAGAGAGAGAGGGGAAGCTTCTTTGTCCTTTCATCAGACATGAATTAATAATGTCAGAGGTGCAAAAATACTGTAGAATGTGCATTGCCAGGAAGTTTGGCTTGTTCATAGGAAGTAATATTAAGATAGAGAGTGAACTCAAATTTTGAAATCAATATCAGAGGAATAATGTTTACGTGACTTAACAAGAGCACAGATTGATCAGTCTGACCTTGGCAGAAGCTCCAGGATATAGAGGAAGCTCTTTGTTCTGGGGTCAGCAACATCTCCCTGCAAACCAATCCTGTTGAGAAACACAAATTAGCTTTAGTCGACCGATACAGCAGCCTTTACCACATTACAAAAGTTTGGGGTTGGTACGATTTTTTATGATGTCTTTACTGTTACTTTTACTAATCAATTTAATTCAATGCATCACTGCTAAATAAAACTATTAATAACAATAAAAAAAACTAATATTAAAATAACGCAAAAAAGAAAGTAATGTCAATTTGAAACAACATGCAGGTGGAAAAAAATTATTGTTTTATGTGAACTGCTACTGTACTTCAATGAACAAGAAAAACATTATGATCACCTGGTGAATGGCTGACATGGTGGGCTCATCAAAATCACATCAAAGTTCAGTTTATCAAAATCCTGTAACATCATTCCCTGATTAAAATGAAACAAAACAGCTATTATTAAACAAATATATTTAACAAAAAAAAAAAAAAAAGCTGATTTTAAAATCACACTTATAACGACATGCATATCAAAATATATATGATGAGTTAAAGGCACAATATGTAAGATTTTTTTATTAAAAAAACCACTAGAACGGTTATATATTTTGCTGACTTGTGTACTTACACTATCCCAAATGTTTCTAAGAATGTTTAAATCTAGAGGAATAAGCACTTAACTAGTGACTTATGCCTTGTCCAAATACCCACACCTGCGGTCTTTGAACTTGACCACTTGACTACTTATATGACGTATTTCCTGTATTTGGCCCAAGTGTTCAAGAGAGCATGAAGACCACAAGTGTGTGTCGAACTATTCATTACCTGATGGGACACACTTGTAGTGTTGTAAAAATGCAAGTGTTTACATAGCTTTATTTTCATTTTAATTTTAAATACTTTGCATTTTAAAATCAACTTCTAAATGTCTGTTCAGTAGTCCCTATAACATGACAATTTTAATTTGTGGTGCTTCTAATTAAGTGATAAAAAAGCAGTTGCAAATGTTGTACAAAATAAATATCACCACTACTCATCTTTGCACCAATAAAACGTAAAAACACTGTTTTTCTACCAAATTATATGTAATATCTAATTATTATATTAATATTTAACTTGCATTGGAAAGGTTTCCGTTACCTCTCGCGAGATCTCGGCAAAAAGTCTCACGATTTATTTCCAGAACATGATGCATGATGGGATACACTAAGCCTCGAATAGCGCTCCGGAGCGGTATTCGAGATAGTGTGGGTTTAGTGTGCGTTAAGGGCACTGCGCTCTGGCATTTTTAAGACCTGGGACAGTCTTGCGCACGCACTTCCTGTCGCGCGCACGCACTCTCAAGTGGTGAAGACCGCAAGTGTGGGTATTTGGACAAGGGGACTGACCGTTTCCATAGTGTGAATGTGTCGCCTGCTAATGACATCCTAACCCCTCGATTTCCGGTTTTGTTTTGTAGAAAACATGGAAACACCAAAGACGCTTTAATATGTTGTGCGTTTTAATAGACCGGTGACGACCGCACAGAGTAGCATTATAACAGAACTTTCAAATAAAACAGCGCTGCTTTTTTCCCCCACATAAGCACGACCGGAAGGAGCGGAAGCGGTCGACTGTGGCATAATAAAAGCTCCGCTGCTTTCGAGCCGTGTGTCAC